TTTAAATAACAAAAACTGGAATAAATTGGTCATTAAGTGGCCTTGACTCAAATATGTAATATTTCCATACTGGAATTGACTTACCGAACAGTACTGTACTGTTTTGAACATATTATGTTCAACAACTTTTTTAAATATTTTTAACTCTTAATCTTTGTCTCCTGATGAAGCTGACAAAAAATTAGCGAAATATAGAGCATTAAAAGAAAAAATGAGTTTTTTTTAAATAACAGACCGCATACCCGATACTCCAATACAATAAATTGGGTTGAGAAAGTTTAGGTGATTGAAGACTTATTTAAATGGAAATAGTACGTGTATGCACTTCTCTGGAGTTGTCATTCCTATAATGCAGTTTTGAAACAATTTGGCTAAATTTATATATAGTTTGGTTGTACCGTGTTTAGTTAACTCTACAGGTATGTTACCTGGACCCGGTGCTTTGTTATTCTTTAGAGATCTACATACATCTTCCACTTCTTTCATTGTTATTCGTATGGGTTAATTAAAATATTTATATTTTGTGTTGTGTTGCTGTCTTTAAATTGTGGTCTATCTTCCATTAGAATTTTCTCAAAACATTGGTAACAGTCATCCATTCTCATCGTTGACACTATGTCTCTCTTCTTATCTTATCGTAAAGATTTTAAGACTCTCCAACTTTCTGTGCTTCTTCGTCCTCCTAGATGTGAATTTATCATGTAACACTTTTGTTGCTATGCATCATGTTTCTTCCGACATATCATTTTTCGTACTTTAGCTTAAGACTTCTTGTAGATTTTTTTATCCGTTATATTCTTTGTATTTAAGAATTTTTGATATTGGTCTCTTTTCTTCTTTATTTCTTGTTCTATTTCTTCGTCAAACCAATATAGTTGTATTCTTTGATTCTGGATTTGGTATTCAATGGCTTCTGTTGCTGCCTTTTGGACACACCTTTTTATTTGAGTGTAATGTTTTTTTAATATATTTCTCTATAATTCTCTTACGCTTTCTTGTTCTAAGCGGATTAGGTTATACCTCTTCGGTATTACTTTTTCCCTTTTATTTCCTTCTTTTTCTTCTTTAGGTTTATTTACTTCAAATGTGATCTTAGCTTTTAATAAGTGATGATCATTTTCACAGGTAGCTTCTTTCAATACTCTAACATCTTGTACAATCATATTTGTCTTTTGTCATATGATTGTGTAGTCTATGATTGATTTTAACCCTCTTGTATTTTGCGTCCATGTGTATTTGTGAATGTCTCTGTGTTAAAAAAATCCATTTGCAATTTTCATTTTATTTTGTTTGCATAATGATATTAGTCTGGTACCATTATCATTAACTGCCCATGCTAGGTTTATTGTTCTTAGTAGTTTGCTTGTTTGGTTGTCTCTTGTGATCTTTATTTCGTGTCCAAGATATATGTATTTTTCCACCAGCTCTACTTCGTTGGCTCCAATATTGATATTTCCGCTAGGTACTAGGTTTGTCATGAATTTTGTTTTGAAGATGTTTATTTTAAGATCCACACTGGCACACACTAACTGAATTGTATGTAGCATTGTACATATATATCCTTGAGGTTGTCCGAGAACAAAACTATGTCGTCTGCAAATTTCAAATTTATTAATCTTTCATTGTCAATGTTCAGGCCTTTCCCTTTCCAGATTTTTACAAGCATATTCTTGTACTTCGATAAACAGTTTAGGCGAGAAGGTATCACCCTGTCAGACTCCTCTGTCGATTGGGATATGATCCGTGTTTTCATGTAGTTTCACCGACATAGTTTCGTTCTTGTATGTTTTGTAAATTAACCTTGTATATCGGAAGTCAATGCGGCATGCTTGTAGAGCTTCCAGAATTTTTTCAAATTCGACCATGTCCAAGGCTTTATGGAAATCTACAAAAGCCAGAACGAGTGGTCGAATAAATTCGACAGTATTTTCTATTGCCGTTTTAATGCTCTGTAGGTGATCATTTGTTCCAAATTCAGTACGAAATCCCGCTTGCTCTATTGGAATAGAAATATTGGAATATGGAATAGAAGTCAAGTTTTTTCTCAAGACGATTCTTTACTATTTTTGTAAGGTAAGTAAGGTTTTTATAGGTAACTAAGAAGACTTATATTTTATTCTACGCAAAAAGTGCTAATGAACAGTTTCGTTCAAAATTATACCAGCTACATTTTTTATTTGAAAAATTTTTTTCTACGCTCTGTAGATTCTTTGTAAATTGATTGTTTTGTGTTTTCACCCCCTACGAGGTAGACTTTCGAGGAAATACGGGGGGTTTAAAGTTGTAAACTTTTTTGGATCTTTTTTGGAGTTACAAAATTGATATTTTCAGTAAAATTTAGCTTGTTTGCATAATTTTTAGGGGTCAAATCTGCAGACGACTTCTGCTTTTACACTGTGAATAATTTACACCAACAAAGTATTAACTCAATAAAAACGATAAGGGATGACGCAAGAGAATATTTCTGTAAACAAGGATTTAAACTTGAAGAAATCAGCTGTGGTATTTTTTACACGAAATAATTTACCATTTATAGCCAGAATTATGTTTAACAGCCTAAGTATACCCATTCACAAGCACTACACATATCTTGGTATTATATTGGACACCAAGTTAACACGGGACAAACAAATTAACAAGTGCTTAATAAAATGTGAGAAAAGTTTAAATACTCTTAAAATAGGTAATCGTTATCGATGGGGTGCCGACCCTAAGATTAACTTAATATTTTATCGTGCATACACCAGATCTATTCTCCACTATGGAAGCTTTCCATATGGATCTGCCACAAACAGTCGTCTTAAAAAACTAGACCGACTTCAGTATAAGGCTCTGCGATTAGTTTTAGGTGCGCTTAATCTACACCTACAGAGAATTTTCTAGCCGAATCTATGGAGCCTCCCTTACATTTAAGAATAATAACATTTATTCTCAAATGCCAGTCTTACAATCAAACTGAGCTACTACAAAAAATATGTGTTATTTCTGTTTCTAATCTAGTCGACAAATGGTGGCATAACAGGAATTCTATTCTGTCAGTGACATCTCATAACATTTCTCAGCGTTTAAACACTCCGAGTCACTTAACTTTCTTTCAATTGAATTTCAATGTTTCTTATACCCTGAATTTTGTTTCTGAATACCCTGTTTCTGAATATCAATGTTTGGTTTCCCAATTTTGACAATGAGAATCCAGTAGATTTTCAGCATCAAACAGCTTAGCTTAATTTAACAATGAGAATCCATGTAGGATTTTTACAGATAATTCAAAATCAAGATTGGGAGTCGGTTGTGCTGTATATATTCCGGATCACAAAGAGTCCCTAATGTTTAAGTTAGATAAACAATGCTCCATATACTCTGCAGAAATGTTCGCAATTCATAAAGCTCAAGAATAGACTGTCAACAAAAAAATTTCTAACCACTAAGTTGTAATTATGTCAAATTTAATGTCTACGTTATTAGCTTTAGAAAACTCCCGTAAACATTTATATAAAAGAGTATTGTCCTTAAAGTTTTAGAAAACCAACTAAAAAGCTGGAAGAACATACTACTGGAAATTTCGTCTCGGTAAAGGGACACTTTGGTATTTCTGGTAACCTCAAAGCAGATTTTTATGCTAAAGAGGCAATCTTAAAAGGATCAGAAATAACTTGGCTAGGTAAAAGCAGTCTAATAGCCACTTGCAAGAAGAGTCTAAAATAAAATTGGGAAATTGAATGGTATGCTTTCTGTAATCGAAGCTTCGTCTCTATGTCTCTTTAACCATGTCACTGTATGTCAAGGCATACCCCTATAGACTAAATCTATCCGAATCATAACTTTTGATTGCAATGGTTATGCTGATGATATTAATTATTGGCTGTTTGGATACAAGCATAATGATGACGCAATGACTATAAAATACGACAAATTATTTGGAAATTTTTAAAAAGGACTAAGAGAAAAATCTAACATCTATGAATGAGTTGACTTGAATGTGTTTAGCAATTGTTTTTCATGTTATTCTTATGTTATATTAAGTACTTTCCTGAAAAGAAAAAATAATTTAAAAAAAAACGAAAAAAAAAGGAATATCAGAGAGAAAAAAAAATCAAAAAATAGAAAAAAAATATAAATAATATTTAAAAAATATATATAAATAAAATATTTAAAAAAATTTTAAAATTTTTAAAAAAACATTCACAAAGAAGTCCTAAACCTCCCAGGTTTATGTCTTAGCGCTGTGAAAAAAGATTAATATTTATTAGTATTTAGTACGAGCATTTAGTATTATTTTAATATCTCTTATTTGTAAATTAGTTTAAGTTGGTTAGGGCCCTGATTGAAGAGTATAAATAGATTTAATGATTCCACTTCCTTTTTGTATTTTTTTTTTATTTTTATTTATCAATGCCTATATATGTATGTGCGTGCCTTAGTCTGTATTTGTGCGTATATGTATATAGTATCAGTATATTTAAAAATGTAGCAAACAGTATTTATTATATGTCGTTGCTGAACGGATCGATAATCCAAAGCCATTAAAAAAAATTAGGAAAAATAAAAACATTTAAAAAATTATTAATTTTATACCTATGAAAACTTTATATAAATACTGTTAAAAATATATATTTTAAAATGCTTTAATATGGGTACAGGATGTTTCGTTTAAAAAACACAACTTTAATTTATTCCGTTGTTTGGATTGACCTTGTATAATCTAAAATAATTTTACATTCATATACACAATATTTATTTAATACACTCATAAATCATTTATTACATTATTTTTGTTATAAAACTTTTATGTACCCCATAGTTTAGCCGTAACAAGAACAAACCACAGGTTTGACTCACCCTGTATAAAATGTTCTAATTTTTATAAAATGCCCTGTTACTTTTTAGAAAGGTATGTTAATTTTTACATCAAACATCTAAAGAAACTCTCGTTATAAAATCCCATCATTCTATCCTTTTACAAAAACTCTTGTTCCAAGACAATTTCTTTTATTTTCTAGAATATTCCTACACGACGGCAAGCGAATGTTTGAAAAGAAATTACGGAGAGGGAAACATAGTTTGTGTATGCAACGAACAGCACTGCGACACTACACCGACCATCAAGGAGCCATCCTCTTCTCTTGTAACGATATACACGTCAAATAAAAATGGAAAGAGATTTGCAGAAAGTTACGGAACGTTTAGAGCTGGATCTGGGCCCAAAGAGACGATTGGGGAGGAGGTCTGTAAACGTAACTACGAAAAGGAGTTTGGAGCTTGTATAAGACATCGTAAATCGGGCGGAAAGGAATATAGGTGAGTTTTTTATATTAGTTAAATTAATACTTAATCATATATTTTAAAAAGCTGAGGAATAGAAGAGCTGCAGGAAAAGACATGATACTAAATAAACATGATAAAACGGAAGTGTAGCAGACGAACAACAAGGTTTTCGTACTGAAATGGTATACAGATGCAGTATTCGTCATAAAGCAAATTACGGATAAATCTTAATAGTAGTAGTAATCTTAATAGTATAATAGACTAGCGTTTCTACATCAGATTACCTTGAAAAAAACATTTGACAGAGTAAGATTAATCTTTGGTATAACTGACAAGTCCGCTTACATATCATAAAAACTATGAAAAACATATTTTATGTCAAAAAATAGTTTTAAGATCGGATGTGCCGATATCGGTGATATTCGTAAAATTATTAAAATCCACAAAAAAGGAATTTAGAGGAGAAAACTTTTAATAATGTTAATTTATTATTTATTTAGAAAAAAATGTAAAGACTTCAATTATCTGTTTAGAGCAAAAGCGCATTCTTCTTTTTCTTTGGCAACTTTTTTCTTTTCATTTTTACTTTTATTCTAAATTATCTCAGCTACTTCTTCTTCTTTTTTCTCAGTTTTTCCCTTTTCATTCCCTTTTCTCTTCGTTTTCACTCATTTCTGTGTATAGTGTCTTCTTCACCTACACCTTTTCTCCCAAGTTCTCTGCTACGTCTTTTTATCTTCTTCTCGGTTTTCCTCTACCTTTCCTTCCATCAACTTCTAACAGCTCTATCTGTCATCCCACAGTTTTCATGTCTACGTCTAATCTGACCAAACTATTTCAGTCTTTGTTCTTAAATATTTTTTTAGACTGTAGTTACCCTGCCTCTTTCCCTAATCAAGTCGTTTCTGATCCTGTACCTTCTATACATACCCAACATCCATAGTAACATTTTTATTTCAGCTACCTTCATTATATTTTCCTGACTCTTGTTTACAGTCCACACTTTACCGCTGTACATCAACTCAGGTCTCACAACAATCTTGCATATCGTTCCTTTATGCCCTTCTTCGATTTTTTTATTACAAAGTATCCCGCTTATTTGCTTCCGGTTAAACCAACCAGCTATGTACCAGTATCTTGTGGGTAATTTCTCGATCTAGTCTCCCATTTTCCGTTATGCAGAAACCAAGGTACTTAAATTGTCCTACTTCTCCTAGTTTTTCTCCAAGCAATTTTATCTCCACCAACGATTCCTATACCTCCTAACCACATATACTTAGTTTTGACCGTGTCATATTCCCTCCCTATTTATTACCCCTTCTGCAATTCTTTAACTACAAGTAGACACTCAGTGAAGAGCCTTGGTGCAAACCAATCGTCACTGGAAAACTTTCGGTCAATCCGACACAAGTCCTTATTTTGGTGTACACTCCTGCATACATATCCTTCACGAGCCTTAAGTACTTCTCAGGAACCCATTTCTCTCTTATACATCTCTGAAGCTCTTATCTAGGGAAGTATCCATTATACTTCTCCTAGCATAAACTCAAACGATTCTTCTCCTATCGATGTCTCTCTCCTTAACGTTTGCTCTGCGGTTATCTACCAAATTTTCATTGTGTGACATTAACTTTATCCCTCTATAGTTTTTACAGTCCTGAATGTTTCCTTTATCTTTATAATGATACCGTCACACTTACTCTCCATGCATTGGGCATCCATTCTTCCTCATATATCCTACTCATCATTTCTTCTCTTCGTCCCTCCACTCCTAGACATTTCCAAACCTCTGCTGGTATTTCATCAGCTCCTACTACCTTGTATACTTGATACTACATTTTTATTTGAGATCCCAGATCCCCGTCTCTTCTCTGGTGTTCTTCATTTAGCAACTTTCTAAAGTATTCATACCACCTTTGCTTTATTTTATCATCGGTTTTTACCAGTGTTTCCTACTCTTAATCTGCCGGACTCGGGTCAAGTCCTTTGATGATTTGTCGCTTGCTTTAGCAATGCTGGATAACTTTTTTATCTCTTATGGTGTTTCCAATTTTTCATACAACTATGCAGACGATCTTTTCTTAGCAGTAGCTATGACGCGCTTTGCTTCTCTCTTTGCTACCCTGTATATATCCTTATCTTCTTTTGTTTTAGACCTGCCATACCCTTCCAGCTTCTTTCGTTTCTCTTCCCTTAGTCTGCCAACAAGGCTTTATTTTAAAAGAAATAAAATTCAAATTATGAAATTTTGGGATACTCAATGCCATTATATTTTGTTTCTTATACAAGATAACCCACGTTTGTATGACGTCATTGTTTCCAGTATCGCCGTCATCTTCATTTTTTTTAAATAGCAACATAGATTAACTGATATGTCAAAGAAAAGCTTATTTCATTTTCTTTCCAAAAATGACAGTAACTTGACGCAATAATAAATAATTAACCAAATAATTAAAGAAACTTTGTTCAACAATATTCAATTAAACTTCACGCATATCTGCTATGAATTTGCCTCTTTAACATAAGACAAAAATATTAGTAGGCATTGAGATAGTATACAACACAGTTATTACTAGTCTATCTACAAACTTTCAAAACTTATTATTTAAAAAAGGGAAAGAAATAATAAATAAGACTTACTCACAATCAATTTAATTTAACATGCTGAAATGATAAAAAACCTATATTAGGGTGTTGTCTAATAACGATAAACAAAGTAGATGTTGTAAATTACAATAATTATGCCAATATTACATGTCTGTAGATTATTTAAAAGAGTAAGTTGAATAAAAAGTATAAAAGTTTTAAAAGTTTAAACAGACAAGGTAAGGCTCACAAATTGATATAAAATAGTCTATTAGATTGTAATAAATTAATAAAAGAGCAAATAAATAAAATAAACATTACTTACATGCCGGTACTTTATTAGTTGATGGATGGTAGAACATGGTTGAAACTACTATGTATTGTTGAATGGAGAACTCAATTCTGTTATTGCAGTTGTTTGACAGTAAACGGGAAGTTCTTGAGGAGATAGATTTGATCCAATTGATATCTTGAGGATCGATATTGAGGAAATAGATTTGATTACTGTCAAACAACTGCAATAACAGAATTGAGTTCTCCATTCAACAATACATAGTAGTTTCAACCATATTCTACCATCCATCAATTAATGTAGTACCGGCATGTAAGTAATGTTTGTTTTATTTTTTTGCTCTTTTATTAATTTATTACAATCTAATAGACTATTTTATAACAATTTGTGGGCCTTACTTTGGCTGTTTAAACTTTTAAAACTTTTATACTTTTTATTTAACTTACTCTTTTAAATAAAACCACAGACATGTAATATTGGCATAATTATTGTAATTTACAACATCTACTTTGTTTATCGTTATTAGACAACACCCTAATATGGGTTTTTTATCATTTCAGCATTTGTTTAACTTTGTATCGATACCTGAGGATGCTTTGCATATTGTAGAAAGCGAAACCGGTCGTCTGATAATTAAATTAAATTGATTGTGAGTAAGTCTTATTTATTATTTCTTTACCTATTTGAAATGGACTCACACAAGCAACACATTCATGATTTATTATTTAAAATTGATACGTACAGACTTTAAAAAGTAAGAAAATAATGGCAAATTTAATAATATATACTCATATTAGTTGAATTTGGTGATCGAAAATAAACGTGTAAAGAATCAAGTAATTTTTTTACTGCTTTAGACAGTCAACTCACTCCTATAAGTGAATCAACAGTAGTCAGAGTCAGAATAATAAAGAAATATGATGACACTGGTAGTGTAAAGGATCCTCCAAGGTCTGGTAGACCGAAAACAGCAACTAATGACGATTAAACTAAAGATATCCTATTAACGTTCAGGAGAATCATAAAGTGTCTACGAGTGAACTAGCAAAAAATCATGACATTAGTAGAAAGTCTGTACAGTTCATTTTTCATGCACATAAATTATATTATTATAAGTTTTATTATTATAAGAATTACTGTTGGATTATCTTATGGTAGATAAATGTTATTAACCTGGTGTGCACTGTAAATTATTTTTGTGCAAATAAATAGAATTATATTTAGTAACTTTATACAATACAAACTACTTAATACATGTGAATTTGTGAATAGTGAAAACGTGACGTCTTCTTGGAAATTATTTGAATAATGTCTGAGTTATGTCACTCGCCGACTTGATCCTGTCAGATTGTTTTTTTTTTGGAACACAAAACACACCGACATGTGACAGGCTTTATGTTGCCGCACTAAACTAATTTTCTAATTAAATGTTATTTGGTATAAAAATGTCCTAACAATTACTTACATAATTATAAGTATTATAATGAAGATGATTTTGGTCGCCGAATAGAATTTTGTAAAACGGTAACAGAAAATAAAGATGCAACACAATTTTTTGATTTTGTTGTATTTAGTGATGAAACCACATTCTGTTTAGATTTTTATGTGAATAGACATATTTCTCGATACTGATCGGATTGTAATCCGCACTGTATTGAGGAGATTCATACCTAATAACCAGAAAAAAGTAATGTTTCAACCTTCTCCAAAATTAAATTAAACCTGAAATCAACCGTTTGTTTTCAAACATGAATGTATATTTTTAACAAGCTGGTGCACCTCCACATTATCAAAGGAACGTTAGGCAATATTTAAATACAATTTTACCACATATATGGATTGATCGAAGAATGCTAGAGTGGCCAGCATGATCACCCGATTTAACAGCACTTGATTTTTTTTGTAGGGTTACTTGAAAAATTGCCTTTATATTAACAGATCAACTAATCTGAATGATTTGAAAGATCGCATACGTCGTGAAATGCTGTTAATTACTGTATAAATGATTAACAATTCTATTTGCAGCTTTTACAATAGATTATATCATTAACACTTTGAGGTTGATGAAATAAACTTTTCTGTGATATATCACTCACTCTACGTTGCTATTTAAAAAAAAACTAGGATGGCCGCCATACTTGAAACAATGACGTTA